GCTATCTGGGCACCGGCCTGCAACCTCTGCCATAGGCTCATGTGGTCTAGGAGTTTCTTGTCGGCTCGTGCTCGTTTCCCCACATGGCCTTATGGTAGGGGCAGTTGCGACCCCTACCGGCAGCTGCCTTTTGCCTGTTGGGCAGCCCATCGGGCCTCTCTAAACTTTGGACAAAATCGAATGACGTGGCCAGGGTCACCGCAATATACACACTGCCCTTGATCCACACGCTGCTGCCAAACGCGCTGGTCCAGGCCCAAATCCTCCCAAGGTCGCCTCTCCTATAGGGTGACCTATTACCCCTATTAGGTGAACGGTTGCCAAAACGGTTTTGCGGGGGACCTTGACCCCTTCCTCCCGCTTGGCGGTTTCCTCCTCTACCGCCAACCCACTGATCGCCCTGGACACAGCCACCTGAGGCTCGGACCCCTTGGCCCTGGCGTCCTCCTCTTCCTTGCGGCCTCCCTCCGGCCGCAACAGCAGCGTAAGTCCTCTCCTGGCTAGCGATACTGTCATCTTCCTCCTCTAGTCCCCACTCTATCTGCTGGTAGGGGGCTTGGTCCATACCTCCCTCATCTAATGTAAGGATGAAATGATCCTTGGTCTTGACTTGACCTGAGATAGCACGACCCTTCCACTTTTGCCTTAGTCCAGGTCCTTGTGCCAGAAAGTGGAAACTGACGCGGATCGTGCTTCAAACGCTACCACTTCCCTGCTAAGTGCATCGTAGGTCATGGTAGGTTGCTGGCTCTTTTCAAAGAAATGTCCGCCGAGTGCTCTGGCACAACTCCACTGACGGGTCGTTGACCAATTGGGTCTCAGTGACCCCATGATCAGGAACGGCGACCAATTCATCCATCACACCTTTGAGTGCCCTGGCACAACTCCACTGACGAAAATGGATGGTTTGCAGCTTATCTGACGCTTTGACACTACGGGTCACGTCTGGAAACCGTTCTCTCAGCAACTTAAGAAAGTCACTGAGGGGAGTGAACGCGGAGTAGGCCACCAAATCATCATTGCAGTTGGCGGCGTGACACAAGGAACGAGCAAAGCTCGCTGCTTCCTCCCTAAGGGTGTGAATAGCTATCAGGACGTGTTCGTCAGGAGCGACGTTCTGCAAGTGCACATACGTTTTAATGTTGGTTTCCCAATTATCAAAGTTCTCCACCTTTCCGCTGTAGGAGTCGGGGAACTTGACCTTCACAGGCTCTCTACGGGGACGCGCAATTTCCTCCTTGGGTGCGGCCAACTTGGCGCCATCTATGGCGCCTGTGCAATAACGCTTTGTGCTATCTAGGCGGGCTTTCACCTCGGATCCCACCTGTACCACTAACTCCCTTGCAAACTCCCTAAATCCCAACCGTATAGAGCGCAAAGCAATATCTTGACTTCTAATAAATTGGTATTGCTCCTCCTGAGCCGCTGTCAGGCATTCGATATTCCTTGCCATGATTTCCATCTTCCCCATCAAATCAACCTGCATCGCCATCAAGTCCCTCTGCTTCCTTACTTCTTCCAAGTCCTTTGCCGCCTAGCTGCATCCAATCTTGTTTTTCTCTCCCTTGTTAGCCGGGATTTCCACTCCATCCTCTTTTCATCCTCTAGGGCCTGGTGCCTGAGTGGATCCTCTTCCGCCTCCCACTCTCCTGTTCGTCCCTGGGCACATACATCAGTGCTTCTTCTTCTTCTCCCAGGGATAAATTGGCCACCCACTCCGTAATCTTCTTCTCCAATTGATCATCTTTCATCCCATTGGATTCTCCTCTTTGCTCCCTTCTTCTCCTTTCCAGTGGCTCTTCTTCTACCTCTTCCTCCTCTTCTACCGCTTTTAACTTCTCTTCCTCTTCCTTCTTTAATCTTTCCTTCTCTCTAGCCATCTCCTCCTCAATCTTCTTCAACTTCGCCGCTTGTTCTTCTATTAGGGCCTTCTTCTTGGCCTTCTTCTTGGCCTCCTTCTCTCTTCTCTCTTTCAGAATAGCGGCGGCTTTCGCCTCCTCTTCGGCTGTGTAAGGGGAAGTGCTCTTTCCGGTACTCATGTCAACCATGGTGACTAGTGCACAACCCAACAACGGTTCCACTCCTCACCACTTAGACGCTCCCCGTACTTAAGACTGCCTGACTTTCTATGGACTACAAAATCTTACCCTTCGTTCCAGCCAGATTACCACGGCCGACGAAAGCTTTCGCAACCACAGTCCTTGCAATCCAGACCCAGATGCCCAGCACCTGCGGTCAAACCCACCTGGCTTTCACTCCGGTTCAGACTTTGTCAACTAGGGGCACTAGCCTAGACTCTAAACTACAGCCGTCACTACAGAACCTGTTGCTGATCAGGAGGCATTTAAGCCCAGCACCTGCGGTCCCCCGCAACTCCTCAAGAATTCTTTAACGTCGCAGACAGGACGACGTGATCAGCAGGTTCTCTCAAAACGTAGACGGCGCATTGTGCAGCCCACAGCTCAGATTTCGGGCCTACCGTGCCACACCGAGCAGCCCGCCGTTCAGTACCAGTCCTTGGAAGGGTTCGTGTCCTCCGGGACAGTCGAGTCGTCAGACACAACCTTTAGCCCTACTCAGCCCGGCAGGGGTTTGGTCAACGAGGCCCTATCCTTCATACACGGAGTCCTATCACCTGGACAGAAGAGACTC